TGTGCAGCAGATTTGCCCAATGCAATCAAGTAGAGCTGCAAAACTCTAAGGGGAAAAAACAAAACAAGACAAAAAACGGACTGGGAATTGAGGACCCTTCTGAGAAGCAATCACAGTTTTCTACTTAGAAAAGAGAAGAAATAGGGCCGTTTACTTTTCATGGATTAAGGTCAATAGGTTCCACTATGGGAATCTGCGTTAGCATAAATTGCACGGTGTCAGTTTGTGCCACCTGGAGAGAGCAGTTTCATACTGTGGCCAGGATGGGTGGGAGGAGGGCTTTACCTGTCAAAGCACAGCCCTCAGGGTTGGTCCTCTGACTGCGGAGGCTGTGGCTTGGGGTATCTATTCACACTGGATATCAGGGTACTTGGGAGAATGGAGAGGCTCTGTTTGTCCTGGATCATCTTGGGGACCACGCCTCTGCTCTGCAATGGACACCTGCTGGGGCAACAAAGTGTAGAGAGGAGAACAGCTGGGGCTCTTCTGAGGGGATCACTGGGGATGTAAACACTACTCAGCCCCAGCCTCATTCCTCACACCACGCTCTGGATGATGTTGCTCAGCCTCCGGCATAATCACACAGCTGTGGGGGTCCACAGTCCAGGACCTTGATGGCCTCAGCGGTCAGTGTCGGGACTCACTGGGGGCCTGCCTGGTAGCACACTCGATTCAGACAACCTAGGCATTGTCCCAATGTCATCCTACCCTCTGCTTAGAGCTGCTGCTGTGGACAGGCAAGCAAGCCTGCCAACAGTGGACAGTTTCCTCCCCAGCGGGGCAGCCTGCACCCATTTCCATACCACCTGTATTCGTTTGTGACTGTCCCGCCATCATAGAATGGACAATGTTCCTGGGCCAGCTGGAGCAGTCACCAGCAGCAAACTTCTAAATAAATAAATCACCTGGGTTTTGTAAGGACTGGCTTAAGAACAAGGCCACCAAGTGCATTGGCTTGGTTGGTGGCAAGAAATCCTACCTTGTTCTCTTTCAGCCTTATGAGGAGCTTTTGGCCCAGGAGACATGAGAAGACAACAGGCTTGTCCTAGACCACTGGACAAACAAAAGCTTCTTCCCCCATTCCTATGGCTTACTTGGCACTCCAGGGTAACGTCAGGCCCAGCAAAGAGCATGGTGGGCTTCCGAGGCCAAACACTGCTACCGGTAGACCCCTAGAAGGTGGGAGGGACAGTGAGACTTCCCTTCTTCCCATCCCTTCAGTTCTTTCAGTCCTGAGAAAGTTCCAGCGTGGAGACCTGTTTGCTTTCACGACACAGAGAGGGACTTGGGAGACCAGATGTCTCTGCTGGAACAGAGAAAGAACCAGAGAACATCCTCCCGGGTCTGATTCTCCCTCTCGCTCACTGCTACCGAGTCGATTCCAACCCACGGTGACCTTATAGGAACAGGGTAACGCTGCGCTGGTGGGCTTCTCAAACTGTATCCCTTTACAGAAGTCGAACCCCTCCTCTTTCTCCCGCAGCTGCACTGGTGGTTTCAAACTGCTGAACTTTGGATTGGCAACCTGAAGTTCCATGACCATGGCTCCTCTGTCCTGGGTCTGATCATTCAGGGACAGTGCAAGGTCTTTGGGAACCACCCTATTTTCAGATACTTGAGCAAGCACACCCATACGCGCACACACACACACACACACACACCTTCCTGGGTGTATATTGGTTTACAAAATGTGACTATTTTTAGCTTGAAGAAAGGACAACTTTTCCAGATACACACAAAAAACTCGGAACATTACTGGTTTTCCTTCCTCATTCTCAACATATGAGAAAAATATTGATCATACAAGTTTACTACATTATTTCATTTTTACTTTTCTCTAGTAATGATACAAAGTTAACTTTCATTAAAGTGCAATGCATGCATTCAAAAAAGGGAGGTGGATTTCAAAAAGAATCATCAGGATATTTCCACTCTATTCAAACCTAAGACTAGTTCACTTTACTCGTTTAATTTCTAATGGCTGTCCATCCAAACTCTGTTAAACATTTTTTTCTACTCTCCCAACATCTGTGACAGAGAAGGAGAAAGTATGATATTCACATTCCTGTTCTACAAACCTAGAAAGTGGGAGTTGGAAGTCAAAGCAGAAAGGCGCTCAGTCATCAAACAAATGTATCCACTCCTACACTGGTGAGGCCCACCTACCTGCCCAGGTAATACAGACACCAGCCCAGCCAGTATCTGTGGCAGACCCTGAGGGTGGCACCTGTCTCTGACCCTTTGCTTGGAAGCGTGGAGACAATTCCCCCACACTGTTTAAAAACAAACAAACACAGGACAGATGGCAACCGTGAGGCTGCCTGGTACCTGTCCTCTGTCTTGTTTCGCAGCCGGTCCCGAGACACCAGCCCTTCTGCTGGCTTCACAGCGTGAAGGTTCTTCTGACCTGTCGGTAGTGCATGGTCTGCACTTGTATCTCCTCAGAACTGGCTCTCACCGTGGCCCATAAGCCTTTGCAGAGACCCTGGTCTCTTCAAACTCCATAGCCCACCTATTGGGCAGGTGAGTCCCTAGGACCTCCAGTCCCACCTTCCTTACCCCCTGCCCTGCTTTCTTTCCACTCCTAGAAGCCTTACCTTGGCGCAAACCTCTAAACAGCAGCTGCGCTTCCAGAACCCAACCCCTGGCCCTCTAAAAGACACCCCTGAAGCTCCCAGCCTTCTGGGGCAACTGCACGGTCCTACTGCCCTCCCTGGCTTACTCCTCCACTTTTGTTTTGTTCTCTTAACTTCCTTGACCTCTTTTGATGCCTCTTGAGCCTCTGGAAGCTCCCCTGGCTGCAGACCCCTTCCCTTGTGCCTGTTCTTGAGGAAAACGGGCACCGCGGGGTGGGGTGGGGCGGGGGTCTGGAGACTTGGGATCACAGGCAAAAAAGGGAAAGGAAGCGCGCTGGAAAGCCACCAGGGCATAGTAAGTCAGGTACTTTCCTTTTCTGTTTGCCTGAGAGGGGCGTGGAAAAGCAGTAGGGCCTCAGTGCAGGCAGAGGACAGCCGCCGGGAGGTTGGGAGCTGGCCCCCTGGCCTGCGGGGTTTCCGGATGGCGGGGGAGGGAAGAGAGGGAGAGCGCGAGCGAGCGGTGGTGGAGGAGGTCAAGGTCTGGGTGTGCAGCAGGAGGGCCCCTCCAGGCCCATCTCTCCCCACCCCACCCCCACCCCCACCCTCACTAGTCCTAACCTGCACCCAGAATTGTCTGTTTGCTGCTCCCGTTAGATGGCGCTAAAGACTTTGTAACCACTTGTGAAAGTGAGTCTGGCAGGGAACAAAAAGATGTGTGGGGTGTGAGTGGGTGGGTGTGAGTTGCAAGGGAGTGAGTGTGAGTGAGTACTCGCCGAGCGCGTGTGCCAGGCACAGACTGCGGGTAGCACCCTAGCGCCGACGTGGCCGCCTTCTCCGACGGCCCGGCTCCGGGCAGGGTGCGTGCCTAAGGCCTGAGACCCCGGGCCCGCTCGCACGCCAGCACCGCGCGCACAGAACTTGTGGCGCTCGAACTTCTGGCGGCCGGGAGACAAGTACCGGCGCTCCACCCCTAGCCCCGACGCGCGCCCGCCCGACAGCCCCAGCCCTCAGGCCGCTTGGCTGGGCCACGGCTCTCGGAAGCCCGTACCGGCTAAACGTGAACACGGCCGCTGGGTGCGGCGGAAGAAAGGAGCCCGGGACCCTCCAAGTCCAGAAGGCCTGCTCAGATGCGGGGGGTGGGGGGTGGGTGGGTGGGGGGTGTTCATGGATAACGCATCCATGAAAGTCCCCTTCTCGGTCGGGACTTGTCGCTCTTAACTTTGAACAAGCCCCGGGGAATCTCTTTTGAGGAGGAAAAGCGCAGATGCAGGTGCAGGTTTTGTTTCGGTGACCATTGCGTGTGGAAATGGACTCTAATATTAGGTTTCATTAACTGTGTGTGTGTGTGTGTGTGTTTGTGTGTGTTTCAAACGGTCAGGGACAAACCTTCCTGCTACTCCTAACCCGCTAGAGCCCCTTTGAAGTCAAACTGGCTCCTTTTCGTTGCAAAGCCCCTGGGGACTTAGGGTGTAAAAACCTGAGATGCGACAGTGTCCGATTACCCAATAAACACGGTAAACTCGAGCTTACTTGTGCTTGTTTACTAATCTATAGTGAAATTTTTCACTTGTTTTCGCCACATCAAAGATTCTGATTTTAGATCTGGCTGCCACCTGCCTCTCTCCCAAGCCCACAGCACCTTCCTGCAGAATCAAATCCTCTTTCCAAATCTACAATGCTTGACAGGAAGGGACCTTGCACCCAATAAGCAAGGTAAACCTGAGCATACTTGTGCTTACTTGTTCATCTGAAGCGAGCAGTTTCACACGTTTTACAACACATCATGGGTTGAAACTCAAGTGTGATTGTTCACAACAGATTAGTAAGTAAGCACAAATAAGCCTGTGCTTACCTTGGCTATTGCCTAATCCGCCCCCTGGAAACAACAGCCAATTATCAAATAATTCTAACTAGTGATCGGGAAGCGAACTTTCGCTCCTCCACCAACTCCACCGATTCTCCCATACCCTTCCAGAAAGTTGACCGGACGATCAAGGAAACCCGGCCCGGAGTTTTCTCCCTAAATGCCAGCCAGAGCGTTTCCCCTGAACTCGAGGAAAAGCCAAAATCGAGAAACTCCTTCGTGCCTTCCCCCGGTGGGAAACTTTCCCGCCGGGTTGGTTCTCCTTTAAGAAAGTAACGCTTCTCTCTGCATATTTAATACCGGGGGTGGCCGGCGAGCACGGACGCTAACCGGGGACGGGCGCACCCTCGGGCCTGGAGCCCAGGGAAGCCCGCCGGCCTGGCTCCCGGCGCAGGCGGCGGGTTCTCGGGCGCGCAGTAGCCAACGCTGGAAACACTGGTCTTCCCACGGAGAGAAAGAGCGGCGGGGAGGGCCGAGGGATTAGTGGGAGGACCCGGCGAGAGAGAAAGGGGGCTGGGGACGGGGCGTCGGGCTCCGGGTGAGCCGGACTCTGGGTTCATTTCCATAAGAAAGCTGCAACCTCAGTGGGAGGAAGAATTTGTCGCCCTGGCCCCCCTTCCCCCACGCCGGTTTTCTGCTGGAAGCGGGCTCCTGGTCTCAGAGCCCGAAGTGTGCACTCTTGTCTTTGATGGTGTTGATAAAATGTGGTTTCGAATGTTGCCCAGAAGGAGGCCGGTTTCCTGTCTGTAGGGCTAGGGGAAGGCTGCGCCGGGCGAGTCCAGAGCTCCGGGTAACCGAGAAGGAGGGAGTAGGGGAAAGAAGAGTCCTGGGGACACGGGAGCTACCGAGAGGACACCTTGAAGAGAAAGTTCTTCGGTAAGTTCCTGAAAGGGGAGGCCAGGTTGCAATGAAGTCCCCCAGCACTGTGTGTGTGTGTGTGTGTGTGTGTGTGTGTGTGTGTGTGCTGGGAGTGGGGTGGGGGGTAGGGGTGGACCGAGATCTGGGCAGAGAGGTAGGGAAACCCCCAGAGTGGAAAGGTCTGGCCGGTTCTGCCATGACTCTTCGGAAAGACCCCAGGAAACCTTCCCTCCGCTGCGCCAACCCTCTTCCCGCGAAGGAATAAAGGCAACTTGCTCGTTTTCTCGATTTCACCAGCGATTCCGTTCTTTCTGCCTTCCCGTGAAGTTCCTTTTCCGCTTTCAATGCGAACCACAGCCATGTGCCCTCCATTCTATCGTATGTATTAAAAAAAAAATCTACTAGGTACTTTATGATCCCATCTGGATAAATTAAAACCCAGATCTGTAATGTTTATTCTTAGATAGTTTACAAAAAGCAAAAAAAAAAAATGTGTGAGACACATGTCTGCAAATATAACAAAAGTGCTTTTCCTTCTGCTTGGAAACGTTGCCTGCAGATGGCTTCTTTCTACCGATTTTGGACCACCTGTACTTTGCAGTGAAACTAAATAGAGTCTCAGGTAAAACATCAATCAGATCTAGCAATTAAACACCAATTATGACTATTAATGAGTTTATGACTAATGGCTGGAGTTGCAGACTCCACACCCACACCCGATCAGGGATCAGGGTAATCAGATAATCAAGTTGTTTTAAAGTTCTGCCACCTATGAGTTTTAAAGTGCTTCACACCAAAAAATATATACTTATGTAAGATGGAGATTATGGTCAAGTTCAAAGAGTTTTCCAGTAGGTGTCTGTGGTTAATGTTGCAGTTATGACTTACAGTAAAGTTTATTGCTACTTCTAGTAAATAGCACAGCCTTCCTTTCTGGTCTATACAGTCAGTCAGGCAAAGTGTAGTGCATAACGGTGGTCACAACAGCCACTTGGTGTGTGTGTGTGTGTGTGTGTGTGTGTGTGTGTGTGTGTGTGTGTGCAGACTTGGGGAGGGGAAAACTGTGCTTTGTTGCCTCTGCCTCTAGTCATGCTACTGCTCTGAGAAGACTCCAGGGAACAAGTGCTTTAAATCTTCAGATGGGATAAAGGATATTGGGATGGGGGGACGGGGCGCTAAGGAAATGATAGACAGTGGTGCAAACGCAGGACCCAAGGAGAAAACAGGAGCTTGGTTTTAAGTGTTTCAATTTCATTTTGCTTTTGGGTTGAAATGGTTTGGGCCTGCCACAGCAGAGCTGACTGTTGGAGAAGAAAAGGTCACTTAGAATAGGCTGTTGCCTGCAGGGTGACTCTGGCCTAGTTTGTGTATTATTCGCCTCGCCTGGACTCTGTGGACACTTCTGTTGACTTCTCCCAAGTAGAAGTCCGTGTTCAGTTCCGAATTGGGGTGGGGTGGGGAGGAGGAATAAATTGCTGTTGGAACCCACAGCAGAAGGAAAAGAAAGGGCCAGCCACCATCCAACAAGGCTGTCTGGGCAACTGAGCACTTGGAGGAGCCAGCAGTTCATCTCACCATTGTAAGTCACCCCTGTTTGATGTCCCACTGTCCAGCTCCTTCACACTGGCCTTTCAGAACACGGTGGGAGTTTGGGGCAATGGGTTTGCAATCTTATTGGAAAGAACACCCCAGCACCTCAGCTCCTGGATGGAAGTCACCACGGCAGCAACACACATCTGGTTCTGATGTATTTGCCAGGCTGGTATAGAAATGCCCGGGCTGCATGGCAGAAATCAGAGCTGTTGGCAACCAGCACACTCCTCTTCTAAGCAGCCCAAAAGTTTTGATCCTTTCAGAGTTCTGGGTGGCCCCTTCTTTTGATGTGAAGCATATGACCCCCCTTCCCAATTCTATTTTGTCAGGATTAATTGCCCTGCAGTGGGGCATCTCACACCTCAGGCCAGCCAAGAAATAAATGCAGCAGGGGAGGGGGGGGGGATGTTAAGGAATCCTCCATAGGTAATAGGATGGAGTGGGATTATTTCAGTCACCAGGCGGGCCCCCAAACCTGACTTGAATGAAAGGAGGCTCCCTGGGTACAGGCCTCATTTGCCTGACCCAGGTTGTTGGCACCCTCTGTGAGACCAGGGGTCCTGTGGTGGCATTGTCCCGGTAAACGTTGGACTACTAACCACAACGTCAGTGGTTCAAACCGACCAGCTTTACCCAAAACTGAGTAAAGATTCCCAGCCCTCTATACAGGGTCAGTCTGAGTAGGTGTCCACTTGATGGCAGTGGGTGGCTTATAGCTCTTCAGGCCAACACTCATCCTCAAAGGCAGAGCTTAGCATAACCCTGAGAGTCCTGAGAACCCAGTGGCACGCAGCCCTGCAAGAAAGAAGCTGCAAGTGGCTGGGACAAGGTTTCCAAGTAACTCCTAGTACTCTCTGGTCTGCCTACTGCTTACTACACATGGCAGGGGATCGGGGAAGCAGACGTTGGGAACAAACACAAGAAAACATTTAAAATGCGGTTGTTGCCCTTTCTTTGAGTCAGGTGCAGGGCAGGGCTGAAATAACAAATAATCTTCAAGAAGGGGGCACTGGTGGTAAGGTGGAGTTGACCCTAGGTTACTTTGGCCCTGTGTTTGGGACCCTGCTGCGGAAGGCACCATTAGCCATCTCAGGAAGTGCCCCAGTGAGGCTGCCTGGGGGTGAGTACTGGAGGCCTTTGAGGCACTGGACCTGCTGCTCCTCCTTTCCTCCTACAGAAGGTATCGTCAGGTTGAGAGGACCTGCTTTCTCCGAAACCCTGGTGAGGGAATGTGGTGAGAGTTAGAGACCAAGTTTTCTCAATTTCTCATGTGTTTGGAAATTGACACATAAAGAGCAGAGAAAGAACAAAAACTCTTTAAACCTAGATGCAGTCTCCATTGTCTCAGAAAAATCACGCCCCCTGCCCTTTATCCACCAATACACCCCAGAGATCTCACTAGGTGGCCCCTACACACAGAGAAGGGAGACGGAATTGGTGTGTCCACTGCACCCAAGTAAACACGAATGAGTTTTGCTTCTCAGCCAGAAAGAGATTCTGCAGTTTGAAGCTTTTCCCTGCCAGAATCAACTTCTTTTCATCAATGTCTCTTGTCAGTAGCCAGAAACCCACCACACCTACTTGTCTATTTCTTCTCTGGGGCTTCAGGTTGCGTTTTAGGAGAGTTTACCCAATGTTGTTCCTGTCAGCAAGCCTCCCTGTCCCCACCCTCACCCCATAATCCTCTAGGGAGTCATAGTTAGAAACCACACACAAAAAAAGAATAATAAAAAATCCCCCTCCCTCCCTATTCTTCCCGACTGGAATAGTTGACAATACAAAGACACATTAAGTTGCATAACGTACGGTGGACGGGCCAGCCAAATGCATCTCATTTGCACTTGGATGTAGCCAGGGTAAGAGCTGTACCTTCCCTCTCAGCTTGCTGGAGTGCCTGGCTGGAGTTCCCCCAGTGGGCCCAAGTCAGCGGCCATTTGGGAGGTAGGAGTCCCCAGCCCCAGAGCAGGACAAAGAGGTTGGTGGGGAGGGAGATAGGGGCCTTGGGGGCCTGACTGGGGCTTGAGCCCACTTTAGCCACTGTTTGGCCAGGACCACTCAGGCTGGCCGCATGCACATCGCTGGAAGCTCTGCAGTGAGTGCTGTGGGTCTTCCCCTGGGTTGCTTTAAAGAATGGAGACAGAGGGATCGTCACTAGGTACCTTATAGCCCCATTCTACCCCAAAGTTGTGTCTTCTCAGCCCACCTTCTCCCCGTGGAGGGACACCTTTACCCGGATGGACAGCCCCACTAGCTCCCTTCCTGGACTCCAGCTCTGAGGGGCTCTTAAGTCTTTTTCTGTCCTCCCTTGGCTGTGCACCACCGCACGTCTGGGAAAGCCAGGTCCAGAAGCTGTGCCTGCCTCTCCCACCCACTCCCAGAGCCCAGAGGAGCTGCCCTTTCGGAGTCCAGGGGAGCGTTAGGATGCAAGGAGTGAGGGGTCTTTTTCTGTTTTCTTGTGGCTTTTGTTTTTCCCTCAAAAATCACTCTGCTCCGTGATTTCAACTATTCCCACTTTCGGCTGCTCTGGGTACTAAGGAAATGACCGCTCAGAACAATTTCTCCAGCCAGTGCGAGGCCAGACTGCACGCTGGCACTGGGCCTCGTGGCAGGGTGAGGAGGCACGGGGGTGGGGGTGGGGGGTGGGGTTTGAGGATCCTGGGGAGCCTCTGCTGGCTCTGGAGCGGGTGCCCTGTGTAAAAGGGCACCTAGCCCCCGGAAAGTGCGTGGGCGGAGGAGCTCACCCTGATGGACAGCGTGTCCTGGGGGGCCTTCATTCCAAAGCCTCCAGATTCCTTCCTGTAAAAACTCTGGTGGTTTGGACACCCCACCAACTCCTGGGACTCCCCGCTTTTCCAGAGCTCCTGCCCAGCAGGCGAGCTGCAGGGCCATCACCAGGCCAGATCACAGCTCTCGACCTTCCGGGGCTAACCAAGGGCGAGGCGTGTGGCCCAACCCTTCCACAGCCTCCCCAGGTCGCCTGAGGAACCGCCACTAGCAAGGCCCTGCAGGCACAGCCTCAGCCACACACCCATGCCCGCGGCAGCCTGCGGGAAGCGCAAGGGCAAGGGCCGAGGCAGCAAGACTGGGCGGCCAGTCCCACACCTCTGACGGCCAGGGCACCAGGGCACGTTTGCAGAGCCTCCTGAAACAATCTGTGGGTTTCTGGGTCCCAGGAGCTCGGTATGTGCCTGCAAGGTGTAGGATCCTTTAAAGCTGCTTGGATACTAGTTTTGCATGAAGCCTTTGTTGTTACAGCTTTGTCAGCGGTGCATGGAGTCAGCAGCTCCCCCCCTGGAGTGGGGAGTGGGGGCGGGGTGGGGGTGGGGGCTCTACTCCCTTCTTTTCCCCGCAGTAGGGCTGGCGCAGGGGATCTGAAACAATATCCCCGGGATCAACCGCCCTGCTCCACATCACCTCTGGCAAAAGGCCCTGAGAGCCCACTGGTTATGTGCCACGATCTCCCCTTAGTGATTGGGACAAATAAATAGGCCTTGCACCTCCTCAGCCTAGACTGCCAGGCTCCCTGGGAAGAACTAACGGACTTCCTGAATGTGATCCTGGTCTGGGAGGCTGAGCCCTGCTGCTGGAGGAAGGGATGATTGACATTACTGGGGTGGTCACCTTAGGGCACACAGGAGGTGACATGCCAACACAGGGTTCAAAAATTGGGGGATCCTAACAGAAGGAACCTCTTAAGGACTCCGCAACTCTGAACGCTCCCCTCTGGCCACTGGGCCATAGGTTGTAATATTCCTGCTCACGTCTGCCTCCCTACCCCCTATTTAAGTGGACCACTCCTGAGCTACAGGTAAACTCCTGCAGATGCTGTGACTATTTACATGCACAGCTTCCCCCAGTTTCCCTAGGTAATTTGGCTTCATCCCTCCTCGGTAGGCCTTTGCCCTGCCTCCCAGGCATTTGAGGGAATCAGGTGTGTACACCTCTCCTCACAGAGGGTTCCCCTTGTTAGGCAGCAGGGGCCGAACAGTTCCTCAAGGTACCATTTTGCCTCAGATCAGCCAGAACCCAGTTTCCTGGAGGTGTGTGTGTGTGTGTGTGTGTGTGTGTGTGTGTGTGTGTGTGTGTTTGAAGGTGGTGCAAATGGAGGGGGCTGCCTCATTCTCTCAGGGCTTCTCTTCTCCCTAAGTCCCAGTTCAAGGCTCAGGAACAAAGGGGAAAAGTAACTGTGCTCTCTTTTGGTCTCTCCCCTCCCTAGAATCTACCCCATTACCATTGGCTTTGATAAATAAAGGAAAGCCTGTGGGATCAGGTACATATGTAAATAATGCTGACCTTGGCCTGCCCCTTTGCATTTATAATCAGAGTGCCCATTTCAGGTGCTGGCTACCATAGGGCTTTCCTGTCACCAGGACCTCCACCCACACCCCCAGACTGCCATGGGTGTTAGGATGTGGGAGCCATTTGCCTTGTTAGCGACATCTAGGCATTCTTGTTAGCTACTTCTAGGAGGACAACTCTTAAATAGTCTGGGGGGTGAATTAAAGACACTTTGCTCAGGGTTGAAATGTGTTTAAAGCTTTCTTTGGAAGACATCGTTATAAGAATAATCCAATCCATAGGATTGCTTGAGTAATTTGGAAGCATTTCTTAAACAACAAGAGTTAATTAAAAATAGTTAAAAAAATAGTTGCTGTTTTACCAAATAATTTTTTTCACCACTGTAACTCAAATATCCTTAAGGCAAACTTAGAATATGTCTATGTTCATTTTATAAGTTTCTGGGTGATACTTAGACTTTCTGCTCAGGCTTACTTGATTTCATTAATTTTTTTTTTTTTACCTTTGCAGAAGCATTTTTAACCTTGGAAATGTAATTTTTTAAAAAAGAATCCATTCCTGTGAAACCCTATAGAGGCGAGTGGAATAAATATGCTGGGTCCCACTCACACCTCTGAGGCCCTATCTGAGCCTAGCTGGAATGTGTGTGTGGGGAGAGGGAACAGAGACGGGGGTGGGGGGTGGGGGGGTGTTGGCACCTTTTATTTCAGTGTGGGTGCAAGGGGAGCTTTGTGAAATGAATATCTATTCTATTTCAGTGTGCAGTGTTCCGGCCGACTAAATGGGCTTGCCTTCTGCTAAGAGTCAGTCCTGGAAGACAAAGCTAACATGTGATCTCCCGGAAGTTCGTCATTAGAATACCCCCATCATAGCCATCACAATAAAGCATGGGCACCAATGATCATACCCCTCCTTTTTTGTCCTTTGTAAACACACTGCCCACTATTAGGACCATAAGTCACCTTGGAGACATTGCAGGTGTGACTTCCACTTTGAATGCTTACTCACCACTCACTTGGTCACACAGAGAAGGCACAGTTGATTTCTCTTTTCCCTAGTCGGCTCTCTGCCAAGCAATGCCCGTCTCCCAGTTTATAAGGGGAAGCAGATTTTTTAAGAGAACATACCCCAAATGAAAAAAATAACTAAAAGCCAGGTGTAGGTTCTCAAGGAATGTTATTCTACCTAGCTGGGTGATTAACAAGGAATGATGTAGTCTAACTCCTCAGAGGAGGAAGAAGGCAGGGGGACAGGCATAATTTGAGGGTGTCTCTAGAACTGTGGCAACTAAGGAAGCCCCACTGATAGAATTTAAGTGGATCCCTAACCAACACGAATTACTTAAACTCTGGTTTTGTTCACATATACACATGTATGCGCGCGCGCGTGCGCGCGCGCGCGCACACACACACACACACACACACACACACACACACACACACACACACACACACACCTCAACCTGGCTCATATTACCCATACATTTCCCATGGGTGACTCTGGTGGCAGCAACTACCATCAACAAACTTTCTGAAAAGGAAAAAATCAAAACAAACCAAAAAAAACCCCAACTCTCTCTATATCTTAAAAAAGTTATTTGATATGTTTTAAATCCCCAAAGACCGGAACTGGTCAACTGTCCCTACGCCTTTTGCCAGGAACAGGTACACTGATGGTATGCCTACCCTCCTCCCCAGACACCCAGCTCCTTTTAGAAGCTAACATTTCTGTTTCCAAAGGGAGGAGAGGGAACCAATTCCATTAATGAATTACATACATGGAATGTTGACTTGTCTAAGGCAATTGTGTTTGTAAATAAATGGCTTCCTGCTTTTTATGTATGTGTGACTGAGAAAAAGTAACTGTAATGCCTCTGAACATGCACTACAGACAACATTCTAATTCCATTTGATTTGCTCTCTGTCTCTCTTTGGTTCTCACTAGAAAGCAACAGGGTTAAAGTGTACCAGGCAGGAATGGAACCATTTTCCTTAAGCTTCCAGGTTAACTTGGGGAAACATCACATTGAGTTTTCCCAGGTTTGCCAAGTGGGGTGTGTGGGTGGGTAGGGGGGGGGTGTTGGTTGGCTCTTTGGAAGTGCTTGCGACTCAAATTGGGAATTTCACTTTCCCCAGAGCCTTCTCCTGCAGCTTCAAAGAGCAAACGCAGAGTGCAGTTTTGCTGGACCATGGATTGAACTTCTGGTTCCTCTGGTACCACTGACCCCCTACCATTAGCATCCCATAGGGCTACTCTCTACCTCAGCACAAGACTGGGATCCAGGATCACCCAGCAGGGATGGAACTGGAGGAGGAAGGGTGGTTACAATGGGGTGGCGCAGCCCAGTCCACTCTGCCACATTTATGGGACCTCAAATTTCCATGGGAGAAAAGCCCAAGCCGGGCCAGGTGGGGTGAGGGGGTGCTACCCTTAAACTACCAACCCCAGTCCAGCACTGCAGGGCCTGGCCGCTGGGACTGTTCACCAGTCAGGCAGCCTCCGGTGCACCTCCCACCCCCAGCCCCATTCCTCAGTCCCAGCTTTATAAACCTCAGTGCATTCTGAAACAATGGGACCTGCCTGGTCATGCTATTATAATCTGACCCTTTCTCCCCTCCTGCATTCGGACTGTAGCAAAAAGTTGCCTTTTTCTGAGGCGGCGCAGCCCCCTCCCAGTCGCACACCCAGCAAGGTATCCCTTATGAAGAGAGACAAAGTAACCCCTACCCAAGTACACCACGACAGACTCCGGGGTCTGGAAGGCACCACAGTCTTTGAAAGGCAGCTGGGTCAGGGCCCAGCTCAGTCTTTACTTCTCCTTCAGACTCCAGGGCTCCTGTGAGCCGAGGAGTGGGAGGAGAGGCAGGGGTCAGACCAGCGCTTGAACTCAGGCCCCTCTGAACTCCCAGGTGGATAGAGGAGAGGGCCAGGCGGCAACTCAACAGCCCAGTAGAGAAGCTGGGTTTCCAGAACAACGGAAAATCTGCAAACATCAAACCGATATCTAAGGGCTTATCTACCGTTATTTCCCACTGCCTTCCAGAAAAAAGTTACCCCCAGAACCCACGGATCCTGAACCAGCCAGCTAGCAATAACTCTTCTCAGCTTCCAAGAAAACTTTCAAAATTTCCCTTGCTTTCTTCCCTCTCCGCCTCAGACTTTCTCTGCTGTGCTTGGCCATGACTCTGGTAACCACTCTTTCTTCTCCTGGTCTCCCAAGGTCTGAACATTTCACCATCACACACCACCACCATCATCATAGTAATTATTATTATTAGGCTGGGGAGGATCAGTGGGTATGGGGCTGAGGGGGAGGTTCCTAGAAATGCTGATGAAAAGGGACATTTCAACTTGCGTTTCAAAAGCTTTCCATCCACAATGATCAGTAACCTCAAAAGACAACTCCATTGGAAAGAAATAATGATAAAGAATTTACTACTGCATTTGAAAAGCCGTAATTTTTTTTACATCGCTTTTAGGAAGATAAATGAACAAAACCTGGCCGTTTCAAGCCATTTTGATCTGTAATTAAATGGCAGGATCGGTTTGTATTCTCCTATGGCTTTTACAGAAGTTGCAGTGATCCAAAGTCGGGTTGCTGTGTCAGAGTGGCATTTTTATTAATGAGAATACAAAAAGCTTGCATATTCTTAGCCCTGCTTGAATTTAGTTGCTAAGCAACCGGTGTATGGTAATTCATCCGCGAAATTTAAATCTTTGAGAAAGGATCCTGCGTTTTGCTGAATGGTCGCCACGAGGAAAACAACTTCTGGGACCTGCTGCAGCTGCCGCTGTCGGGCCGCGCAGTCAGGCGGCCCGCCGGGCCGGGCCGGGCTGGGCCGGGCCGGGCGGGCAGCTGTCGGGCGCCCAGCCGCGCCATCGCCCCAGCCACCCGGCCCTCTCTCCAGGAGGAGAGGCGTTGGGTTGCTGGAGTTCTGCGCCCGCGCCGCCCGCCCCACCGTTCCTCCGCCTCTCAGAACCTGGTCTTTTCACCTGAGACGGGCCCTCCACCTGAAGACGCTTTTGCCTCCCGAAGGTTTGCCAGGCAGGGCTGGATGCCCGCACCCTCTCCTCGCCTCGCACCCACCCGCCGGCGTGCAGCAAGCGCAGATCCACCAGAGCACACATATCGCGTCGCTCAGAGGAGGCCTTTTTCCCAATTCCCAGAACCCTCTGAGGTCACTTCCAGAGCCCACTCTTCTTTGAAGAAAACCGGACTCCCAGGACGGCAGCTCCCAGCCTGCCAGAAGACCAGGCGGCTGGGGCTGGCATGCAGTGACATCATAGGTTCCTGCTCGCCACGCTCGCGCCCACATTTTAGGACACAGGAACAAATACGGATGTGAAATCAGAATGAGAGAAAGTAATCTAATTAATAGGCCATGAGCCAGGCTAACAAAATCAAAGAATCTGATTACACAAGTAAGTAGCCCTCTTGCTACCTCCGCTCTCCCCAGCCCTCAGCTCTTCCAGCGCCCACCCCCACCCCCCACCCCATTTCCTTCCCTACACTGGAAAGTTCAGGAGGCGAGCCCAGAGCCCGCTGACTGTCCTACTGAAATCAAGATCAAGCCCACCTTGGGGCTGCAGGAGTGGGAGGGAGGTCACAGGGTGACCTTCAGGCGCTAAGAAGAGTCGCCCTGCCAAACGGTGCTGAGGTGCTGAGCAAATTTATGCCACAGAGCTGTAGAAGTGGCCAGCACACTGAAGACGCATCAATAGTAAGACCGACATCTAGCTGCAGGGTTGTTTGTACTGCCAGAAACAGGACTAGGAAAAGAGGCGCTCTTCGCTCACAACCACTTTAAGACAGATTTTTCTTTTTTAATGTTTTACAAGAAGAAACCTAGCATAACTCTTTGTTTGGCATCCCCTAGCTTTGGGTCACTGATAACTCCCAACTGGTAACTGTCAACGAACGCCCTTTCCCAGCAAAGATGCCCCAGCAGAACCAGGTATTAGGGTTTTAATCACTGATCCAGAACGTCTGCTCTAATCTTTCCAGCCGGTCACGTGCAGTTCATGAAAGAAGAGAATTCTTTAATTTCTATCTTCCTGCCTTGGGGAGAAAAACAGAAAAAACACAAAACAGGTCCATCTCCTAAATAATTAATTTCGAGCCTGCATCCAGTGCTAATACTTGTTGCTTCCATTTTAGAGTTTGCCCTGTAACTTGGGCAAACTCAACTCCATGTGGAGAGAATGTTTCTTCCTTCAATTTAGTCCTGAAAGCTACAACCTATTGATGGCTCGTACTCTGTTATTGGTGCAAACATGCCCATCTCTTAAAATGCATTTTGTATAAATATATAAAAGTATCATTTTTGATGTAGCTTGAAGAGGTTGATCATTTATTACAAAAATAAACGAATAAATACAACAATATATTGTTGTTTCCAACAGGATAAATACTTTACAAATATATAATTTAAAAAACAAATTTAATTGTTAAAATTATTTAAAATATTACACTTATCGATAAAACTATCAATTGCATATACTGCATTTAATATTAGAACCAATTCTCTGAATTTTGAAAAACCATTCATACAAAACAGATTATGAGCATGGTAATGAGCAGACACCGGAGGCTACAGGGAAGAAGAGGGAATCTCTAAGATCAATAATGAACAATTCTATTTTAGAACAAAGAAGCAGTACTTGGCTAAATGCTGGGTTTAATAATTTTAAAAAGAAGAAGAAGAATCAGCAGAAGAAGCAAAGCAACAACAGCGAAGTGGTTATTTTGAATACACCTTGAATGATTTATCTCACAAACTGGCCAGGAGAGGATGGTTGGGTGAATGAAGTGGCTGAGGCTTGGACAACTGGACGGGGGCTACAGGAGAATGTAAACCAACTGCACTGAGCTTGGGATTGCCCAACTGTTGGGACAGAACTTGGCC